AGGTTGCAGTGAGCCAAGATCATGCCACTGCACTCCAGCCCTGGTGACAGTGCAAGACTTTGTCCAAAAAAAAAAAAAAAACCAAAACTGGAAGTATTAAATAACGGAGAAAAAAAGAGGTGAGTACATAAAATTACATTGGGTTTAGAGACTGGAGGCTAAAGAAAATAGGGTGACAAACCATGCTTTATGTTCCAATCATCAGGATCTCAGTAAGTGGTTTCTAATTTCAAAGCATGGTAGAGACAAACATTGACAACCAAATGCTCTGAAAGAAGGGAGCAATCTTATTTCAAACATTTGGTATTCCCTAAACTGTAGGCCCTCTAAACAATACGCACACCCTATCCTCAAGGAATTTATTGTCTATCTAGAAGGGGATCTACATACAAAATTATACACAACTAACATTTATTTGCTTACTGTGTACCAGACACTTTTCTAAGATTGTTGCATACTACATATATTAATTTATCCCATAGAACAATTAATATCCCACTGTACAGATGTGGCACAGAGAGGTTTAAGTAATAATGTATCTTGGGATATACAACTAGGAAGTAGACATATTGGATTAGAAACCCAGGCAGTAGTCAGATTATAAGGGACGTTATGCCCTTGCTAAAAGGTCTGAAATTTACCGTATCTGTTGGTGGTTCCCAGCTGGAAATATATACATCTACCAGACTCCTGTGGGTGGGGTAGAGATCATCTCCACTGTTGATTAAGGATGAATGCCATTGTTAAGCCTTTTTTTTTTTCGTTGAGACAGGGTCTTGCTCTGTCACCCAAATTGGAGTGCAGGTGCATGATGATAACCTCACTGTAGCCTCCAACTCCTGGGTTCAAACAATCCTCCCACCCTCAGCCTCTAGAGCTAGGGCTACAGGTAGTGCAGGCCACCATGCCCAGCTTGCTTACTTCCTTAACTTACTTACTTATTTATTTAGAGACAGTCTCGCCCAAGCTGGAGTACAGCACCTCCCAGGCTAAAGGAATCCTCCCACCTCAGCCAGGACCACGCCCAGCTAATTTTTTGTATTTTTTGTAGAGATGAGGTTTCCCTACGTTGCCCAGGCTGGTCTCGAACTCCTGGGATCAAGAGATCTGCCTGCCTCAGCCTCCCAAAGTACTGAGATTACAGGTGTGAGCCACTGTGCCTGGCAATTTTTAAAATAATTTGTTAGAGAAGGGTCTCGCCATGTTGCCCAGGCTGGTCTAGAACTCTTAGGCTCAAGGGATTCATCCACCTTGGCCTCCCAAAGTGTCAGGATTACAGGCCTGAGCCACCAAAGCCCAGCTGCCTTTTTTACTTTTGGGAGGGCATCCTATCTATCCTCTAGGTGTTGAGGTTAAAACAAAACAAAACAAAAGCAAACCAAAAAAACCATACTGCCGTTATATAGATGATGGGGAGTTACTGGACTCATGAGCAGACAACTCCAAAAACAATACTCACAAGGATGGAAATGTAGTATTGAGTTCAGTCACACTATGGGAGAAGGTGCTCATCTCTCTCATGTCTCAGTCCTAAACAGGTAGGCTCAAAGCCCCATTAAATCCCTTGGCCTTCCCCCAGCACCACCACCAAATATCTAATGTCTATACATGCTATGTGCTTCAACTGTAAATAGTTTTCTTCTACAAACTCAGATACTTCTTAGCAGGTTAACACTGTTCAGCATACCACTCTGGACAACCACAGCCTCAGCACCCTCACTACTTTCCTTTTTTTTAATTTTATTTTTTGAGATGGAGTCTCGCTCTGTCACCCAGACTAGACTGCAGTGGCTCAATCTCAGCTCACTGCAACCACCACCTCCCAGGTATAAGCAACTCTCCTCTCTCAGTCTCCCAAGTAGCTGGGATTACAGGCATGCACCAACATGCACAGCTAATTTTTGTATTTTTAGAAGAAATGGGGTTTTGCCATGTTGGCCAGCCTGGTCTTGACCTCAAGTGATCCACCAGCCTCGGCCTCCCAAAGATCTGGGATTACAGTCAGGAGCCACCACGCCCGGCCCACTGCTTTCAAAATAACTATATTTACAAGGGTATTTCCCCCATTTGCATTTCCCACACACAGGTTTTGAGAAGAGATCAAGAATGCCCTTTACCACATTTTACCTGTCCCTTTCTTCCCTTTCAAACCAACTGGTCTAGGAGCCAGACACAGAGGCACAAGCGTGTAATCCCAGCACTTTGGGAGGCCAAGGTGGGCAGATCACTGAAGGTCAGGAGTTTGAAACCAGCCTGGCCAACATAGTGAAACCTGGTCTCTAATAAAAATTAGCCAGGCATGGTGGTGGTTGCCTGTAATCACAGATCCTTGAGAGGCTAAGGCAGAAGACCTTCTGGAACCTGGCAGGTGGAGGTTGCAGTGAGCCGAGATCATACCACTGCACTCCAGCCTGGGCAACAGAGTGAGACGTTATCTCAAAAAAAAAAAAAAAAAAAAAAAAAAGATTGGTCTGTATCAGTGCAAAGTTTTGCCTACCTTGAAACTTTAGATAGCAGAAAACATTTATTTCACAAATGAGAAAAATAAGGCTTAAAGAATGAAAACTACCTAGGGTAAGCCAACCAAGGAGTAAAGAACTGTGACTTAAACCCTGATCCTCTGCCACCAAGCCCAAAAGGCTTACAAGTGGTAGGAAGGACTATTTCAAGTGGTTCACAACACCAATTTGAAAAACAGAAGGAGCATGCAAGTGACTCAAGTTTGGAAAACTGACCACAACCCTCAGCTATTCTAACTGAAAGATCAAATAGTAAGCAGGGCATTAAGCACTGATCTCTTCCTAAATCAGATACTTCATTTTCCTTGTCTTATTTTGATTAGCTCCTCCAATAGAATGCTGAATAGAGCCATAACTGATAGTAACTTTTTTTTTTTTTTTTAAATGAGACATAGTCTCGCTCTGTCGCCCAGGCTGGAGTGCAGTGGCTCGATCTTGGCTCACTGCAAACCTCGCCTCCCATGTTCAAGCGATTCTCATGCCCTCAGCCTCCGGAGTAGCTGGGCCCACCACCACGCCCAAATAATTTTTCTATTTTTAGTAGAGATGGGATTTTACCATTCTGGCCAGGCTGGTCTTGAACTCCTAGCCTCAAATGATCTGCCCACCTCAGCCTCCCAAAGTACTACAGGCATGAGCCACCTGGCCCGGCCCAACTGTAGCTTTATCTTATTCTAAGCTTAATACTGTTCTAAAGTTTCACCATTAAGTATCATGTTTTTACAGCATTCATGGATGCACTTTTTTTGAGTTTATGGAAATTCCTTCCTATACCTCACTCAGTAAAAAAATTTTTTTAACTCATCTCTGGCCCACTCTTTTCCCTTCTCCATGCTGCTTTCCACCCCCGACCCTTCCTTTCTTATATTTCCGGTTCCTTCCTACATTCTACACACCTCAAAGTACTATGTCTGCCACCCAAAATAACCAAAATTCTTTGATATTCTGGGGGTTCTTTAGCCATCTGCTGTTTCAGTTCCCTGGTCTCAAAAAAAAAAAAAAAAAAAAATCAAAAATTGACAATTGAAAAAAAAAATCCTAAGGTAAACATTGTTTCAATCATTACTGAAGACTGCAAAAATAATTGCAGATTATTTATTCTCTCCATCTCTTTTGTTTGAGGCAGGGTCTTGCTCTGTCTTCCAGGCTAGAGTGCAGTGGTGCGACGTGGACTCACTGGAGACTTGACCTTCCAGGCTCAACCGATTCTCCCACCTCGGCCTCCAGCGTGGTACAGGCGCTCAACATGCCTCCCAGCTAATTTTTTGTATTATTTTTTTTTGTAAAGACGGGGTTTCGCCATCTTGTTCAGGCTGGACTCGGAACTTTGGTACTCAAGTAATCCTCCCACCTCGGCCTCCGAAAGTGCTGGGATTACAGGAGTGAGCCACCAGGCCCGGCCCTTCTCTATCTCTTAAACACACCCTGAAATGTCTTCCTTTCTTTAAAGTAAAAAACTCAGGGGAAAAAAAAAATTCTAGATGTCCCTTTACTTTCCAGTCTGTTGCCTAGCTCTGCATAAGCCTGGCTTTTTAAGTGGCTGGAAGAATCTCAGTGTTTTTTTTAAGTTTTGAGGGAAGGAGCTGGATCCAGATGTTTATAACTTCGACTCTCTCCTTTGCTAAACTGAAAAGTATTAAAGAAGAAAAGGAAAGGAAGAGAGGTAGAGTATGTGTAAGCAAGAAAGTTCCAGGACAGAAAAGCTGAAGACACAAGAACGGAAAGCCAAGCCTTTAATGCCCAAGCAAGCTAAGAATTCTCTCCCTCAATTTCTTTCAAAACAAAAGGGCACACACAATCCTTCCCGAGGCAGCAACGCCGAGGGGAGAAGCCAAAATGTTGCATCATACAGAACACTCCGCGCCTGAGAAACGAGAAAGCCAGTAAATGCCCAAGACAGAAAAACACAATTTGGGAATCTTGGTCTTTTCCAAAGGTCCAGGAGCACCTGCTCTTTCGTAAATTTCTTTAAGATAGCATCGAAAATTAAAGTTTCCGTTTCAGACTAGCGGGGAGCAAATGCCTTTTCAAAAAAGCGTTCCAAGAAGTTCGTTTGAAAGCTCATCGGGCAGCGGAGCGGAGCGGAGCGAGCGGGTGGGGCCGGGCCCCGGCGCCCGGGCGGGGGTGGTGACAGGACCCGCGCGCGCCCGGCGCTGGGGCCCGGGGGCAGGCTTGTCCCGCCCCCGGGCTCCTCCCGACCCACCGAGCTGCGGGACGCTGGTCTGGCGTCCGCCGGAGCCCGCGGGGCTGGAGGCCGTGGCCGCCACCCGGGTCCCCACCCCGGTCTCCTCAACCGGCCCTCGGAGGCGGGAAGGCGCGGGCGGCCCCAAGACAATGGGACCCGGGCGCGGGAGCCCTCAGCCGGACGGGTGCTGGCGCGGAGCGGGGACGCCTCGAGAGCGCCCCGGAACGCCGCTCCTCGCAGCCCAGAGGGCGCTGGGAGCTCGGCCGGGCGGGACCGCGAGACAAGCGCTCGCTCACCTTGACGAAGAGCTCGATAAGGGGCTCTTTGTCCTCCTCCTTCAGCCCGTTCAGCGGCATCGACAATGCCATGGCCGGCTCGGCTGCGCTCCGCGAACGGCGACGGCTGCTGCTGCTGCTTCTGCTCCGGGTTACTCCGGCTGACGGTTCCCGCCGCGCTGGTCACTGGACTGTCCGGTGTCGAGCTGGCCGCGGCCTCAACTCCTCAGCACCGCCCCACGCCCGGCGCGCGACTCTGAGGCGGTCGCAGCTCGAGCCGCTTCAAGCGGTGGGGCGGGGCACCGCGGGCGGGGCCGCGGGCTGTGGGCGGGGCCAAGGCGCGGCGCCTCGGGACTCTCCCGGGAAAGTGGAGCGGCTGGAGCATGGGGGCGTGGCCTCTGGCGGGAAAGGCGGAGGGACCGCTCTGGAGCCGAAGGAAGGACCACTGCGAAGCCTCGAAGCTGATAGGGGCGTGGCCTGGACGGTGGTGGGGGACTTACTGGGCGGCACAAAGCGCCGGCTTAGGCGGGAGGGACCCGGGCCACGCCTCCCGAGGGGGCGAAGGGGGAATTCCCCAGGGACCAGAGCCTGACACTGCTTCTCTCCGCAGCGCCTGCGCATCTTCCGCAGCTGCTGCTGGTGCTGTGCCAGGTGACCTCATGCCTCGGCTGGCCTGGGGAAGCGAGGAGGCGCCTCCCGCCCACTCCCCCGCTGAAGCACCCCAGGACTCATCGCTCTTTCCCGCAGCGGCCACCTCCCCAACTCTATTATGCGGAGTTGCCTTTTCCAAGACAACTTACCTTAAAGTTTTCATCGCCTGGGAAACACCTTTTTCTTCTACCTCTGACTTTGTTTTTCCCGTAGACGCTCCAGGTCGTTTCGATCTTGGGAGCCAGCATATTCACAAATATTTATGAAACCTTACTGTGTTCCAGGCTGCTGGCTAGCCCTTGGAGAGTAACTAAAATTCCCAGAGCTCCCGATCTTGAACTGCAATCCCAGTGCCTGCAGGCCACTAAGGACTCTCAAGCCATTGTCCATCTTGTTCCCCACTGCCCACACCCATTTCTCCCCCCCCCAGGCAAATTTGAGTTTGCATCAGAATCACCTGGGTTCTACACGCAGCCCCGCTTTTTGTGTTTCCCAGATCCTCTGAGGAAGAGAGAAATCCGTATCTTAGCAAGCACCAGAACAATTCTGAAGTAGGTGGTCCGCAAACCAGTTAAGCTGCACTGGGATTTAAGTCCCCAAGGATAAGAGCTTTGCTTGCCTTGAGATTGCAGGCACCTGGTCCTGGTTTGCTGCTGTGGAGTGCCTGGGGCAAATTTCACCTCCTCTGTTAACAATTACTTGTGGCCTCTTCTGACTTTCCACAGTACTTAACTCACAGCTGCTCCTCCCAACTTCACAGGTTGGGCTAGTGAGTTCCAGAAGGCCCACACATGGGAGGTTTGTCTCCATATTCTCAGTGCCTAGCACATAATCAGAATGTTTGAAGAAATTGTATGTAGGCATGAAAATACATACAGTGAAACTTGCAACTTCTCCCTCTGCCAGCCCAAAGCAAGTTGCTCAAATTTTCTCACAGGGGCTCCAGGAAAGAGCCAGTGCATCCCAGTGGTCAGGAACACAAGCTCTGGAGTTTGACTGTTTAAGTTCAAATCCAACCAGGCAATGTCCTTAAAACCCCTAAGCCTCAGTTTCATTATCTAGAAGTGGGTGGGGCTAATTACTGATTCTTGCCTTACCATATGTGCCGCTGCATCAGTGTGGCTGTTATCTGCCTGGAGACCTATTCTGTCCCTACCACCCCTGCAGGCTAGAATGTGGTATCATATTCAACTCTCTCTATGCCCTGCTAGTTCGTTGAAAATAAATGAATTCCAGGAGGCTCCCTTAGATGGGGGCTTGAACTATGAAAAACCTGAAGTGAGTGGACTCTGGACTGAACCCAGTGTTAATTTTTCTTAGAACCATAAGCTGAAGCAACGTTTCCTTCCAGACTCCACCCTCTCTACCCTACCAAAACGAACCAAATGGTCAATCAGTTCAAAGCAGATCTCAGCTGAAAAACAATTCAGCGGAAACTCATTGTGCCTGAGAACTGATCAAATTGAAGCCGGGCACAGTGGCTCACGCTTGTAATCCCAGGACTTTGGGAGGCCATAGGCAAGTGGATCACCTGAGGTCAGGAGCTCGAGACCAGCCTGGCCAGCATGGTGAAACCCCATCATTACTAAAAATACAAAAGTTAGCTGGGCATGGTGGCACATGCCTGTAATCTCAGCTACTCAGGAGGCGGAGGTTGCCATGAGCCAAGATCATGCCACTGCACTCCAGCCTGGGTGACAGAGTGAGCTCTGTCTCAAAAAAAAAATTTTTTTTAGTTAAAGGCAGCAAATATTCCCAGTGGTGAGTTGCCTATCACAGCATCCACCTGGCCTTACAGCACCAGGGTATGGAAGAAGGAGAAGACCAGAGTTCTCTAGACTTCATTGACTAAACACAGATTTTTTTTTTTTTGAGATGGAGTTTCGCTCTTGTTACCCAGGCTGGAGTGCAATGGCGCGATCTTGGCTCACCGCAACCTCTGCCTCCTGGGTTCAGGCAATTCTCCTGCCTCAGCCCCTGAGTAGCTGGGATTACAGGCATACGCCACCATGACCAGCTAATTTTTTGTATTTTTAGTAGAGACGGGGTTTCATCATGTTGACCAGGATGGTCTCGATTTCTTGACCTCGTGATCCACCCACCTCGGCCTCCCAAAGTACTGGGATTACAGGCTTGAGCCACTGCGCCCGGCCTAAACACAGATCTTAGCTGGGAGGACGCCACCCGCATGCCCCTCCACAGAGCCCTGAGGTGGTGATAATCTCCTGGGCTGCTCCTACCCAACATGAAGCCCCCCAAGAAGAGGCTCAGACCCAGAGTCTGTGCTTAGAAACCTAGTCAGTGACACCTACAGTTTCCCAATATGGCTCCCGTGGATGGGCAGAGTCAGTGCTGGGAGGAGGTGAAAGGGATCGAGAACATTTAGGGGAGGCTCCCTAAGCACACTGCAGTCAAGTCTCCTCTTTGGACTTTGAAATGCATGCCTGTTTTACATTCTTTACTCATGCATGGTTTTTTTTGTTTTGTTTTGTTTTAAATGAATGAGAGGTTCTTATGTTGCCCAGGTTGGCCTCGAACGCGTAGCCTTGCTTCCTCAAGCACCAGGACAGCTGGCCTGAGCCACGGTGACCCCTCATGCTTGTTTTTATAGCACACAGAAATCTTGAAGATAGGTAGAGACATGTTGTCTCCTCCCACTCACACCTCTCTGACCTCATCTCCTACCATTCCCCCCTTTGCCCTCCACCTCAGCTGCACTGGCCTCCTTTCTAGTCCTTGAATATGCCAAGCACACTGTGGCCTCAGGGCCTTTGCACTTGCTCTTCTCCCTCTCTGGAACATCCTTCCCCCAGAATTTCTGCAACTCCCACATCCTTACTTTGTTTGGCTCTTTGGTCGAATGTCATCTTCTCAGAGAGCTCTCCCGAAATACTGCCCTATGCAATGTTGCAAGTTGCTATCTTTCACTTCACCCTCCACTTTGTCTTCATAACACTTACAACCCTCTGTTATATACATCTACTTATTTATCTGCTTATTGGCTGTCTTCCCCCCACTAGAACATAAACTCCATGAGGGTAGAGATTTTTATTTGGTTTTGTTTATGGCTATATTCCTGGCTCAGAAAACAGCTCATGGTACACAATAAAAACTTATGGAGTGAGTGACTACACCATGTTTATCCTATGGTTTCAGGTACCCCTGACATACCATTGGGATCTCCCTGTCTGAAAAGCCAGGTGGTTTGCGTCTATGACTCTGCCACTTCACACGGGTCAGGTTTCCCAAAGGACAGGAAGGCGCCCACATAACCCTCCCCTGATGATACACTTTCCTCCTCCCACCTCTGACTCTGTGGTTCCGTTTGCTGACTGTCTCAGCCCAGCGTTCTGCAATTTCAGCAGCAGAATAAGCTGCTATGTACATGGACTCTGGGGCCAGACTGCCTGGGTTCCAATCCTGCCTCTGTTATTTACTACCTCTCTGTGCTTCATTTTCTCATCAGTAAAAATGGATCTAAATTACGACCATTTTCTCATGTGTAACCATGGATCTAAAATTAGTACCGATGAATATTTAATAGGATCATTGATAAATTAGTCTATGTTAAGTGCTTGGACTGTAAGCGCTTGGATTGTAAGTGCTCTGTAGACACTAGCTGTTGGTATTATACCCATCTGTCAATATTCTTGACTGGTCACTGAGATCCCTTACTGCATTCCAGACACCTAGCTAGGTACTTTCATATCCAGTCATGCTTACTCATCATGGTCTTGCAAGGCTTAATTTTTTTTTCTTGAGACAGAGTCTCACTCTGTTGCCCAGGTTGGAATGCAGTGGTGATCTTGGCTCACTGCAACCTCCGTCTCCCACGCTCAAATGTTTCTCACGCCTCAGCCTCCTAGTAGCCGGGATTACAGACATGCGCCACCACACCTGGCTAATTTTTGTATTTTTAGTAGAGATGAGGTTTCACCATGTTGGCCAGACTGGTCTCAAAACTCCTGACTTTAAGTGATCCACTCACCTCGGCCTCCCAAAGTGTTGAGATTACAGGCATGAGCCACCACGTCCAGCATTGCAAGACATAATTTTCATTGTCCCCATTTTCCAAATAAGGAAACTGAGGGCCAGGCACAGTGGCTTATACCTGTAATCCCAGCACTTAGGGAGGCCGAGGCAGGTGGGTCACTCGAGATCAGGAGCTCAAGACCAGCCTGGCCAGCACAGTGAAACCCCATCTCTACTAAAAACACAAAAATTAGCTGGACATGATGGTGCACACATGTAATCCCAGCTACTCCAGAGGCTGAGACACGAGAATCACTTGAACCTGGGAGGCAGAGGCTGCAGTGAGCCAAGATCACACCACTGCATTCCAGCCGGGGTGACATAGCATGTCTCTGTCTCAAAAAACAAAACAGGAAACAGGGTTAGAGGACAACTAACCACAAGTCACGAGTCATTCAACTGGGAAGATGGTGGAGCTGGGATTCAAACCACAACTCTCTAGGAGCCTATGTTCCTCCTCACTTCACTGTATACTAAGTGGATATGGGAAAAGGAGGCTCCTACCCATTCTTCAAGGCCCAACTCAAATATCCATCTGCCTTAAGAAGCTTCCTTGCACCATGCACGGGGAGTCATCCTTCCTTCCTCTTACTGATCTGTAGCATTGGTCTGGATTCTACATCACCCATCAGGGAGGTAAGGGTGGTGTTGCAGTTCTCAATGTGGTCTTCCCTAGCAAACTGCCAGACTCCCAG